TTGTCCTACTAGTAGATGCCCGAGTTTGAGAAGAGGATCAATTCTTTGCTTTAATCAGTCACTACCTAGAGGATTGGTTTTCTCGAGAAGATTCACCTCAAACAATGATATATTCAAAAATAAGGAAGCCAAATTGCATTTCCTTGAAGATTGCATGCATATGGTGGAGGAAGAATGACATATGGTTAAAGCCAAATTTGTATTCAATATAAAAATTTGACATTAAGACATTATTTTCATGATATACATAAGGGATATTTGAATATATGGAAGAAAATTGTATTTCATTGAAAATTAATCACATGTCATGTAAGAAACATTGCATATTCTTCCATAGATATCCATAAGAGATATTAATAAAGAACATTCAAATATACATGGAATATTCAAATTTATGGAAAAAAATTACACTTTGTTAAATATTGCTCGCATATTGTGAAAGAAATATTGTATATACTTCCATGGGTATCCATAAGCAATATTAATAAGGGGTATTTGAATATATATATATATATATATATATATGAGATATTTAAATATATGAAAGAAACTTGCATTTGGTGCTTATTATGAAAGAAACATTGCATGTGACATATTAACACTACAGGACTTTATATTTTAGTGCTCAGTAAATTGCCACCAAATGACCTTTGGCAAACCTTATGCTTCATGGCTCAATCTTCATTTCCTTTTCTTTTATTAAGGATACTCTCCAAGATATTGATAGCAACCCTCTAGCTTGTATCAATTTGAGGGACTTGGCTTCTCTCCCCTCCTCCATTTCCTCTCCATTAACTAAAATAAAATCTGTACCATTCAAAATTCGATGTAGACAAAATTTGAATGTCTAGATTTAAAGTTTTTTTTTTTATTTATATTTATATTTTATACTTATTAAAATTAACATTAAATTTTTTTAATAAATCTATTTTATCACCAATCAAAATAGTCTAAATTTAATTTAGAGGGTCCAAAAATTAACATTAATTTTTTTATAAATTGATTATCTAGATTTACTCTGAATGGTTCAATTTAAATTTTTTAACTTATAATTTTTTATAAAAATATTTTTTTTGGAAAGTGTCAATTGAGAAATTATCTTTACTTTTAATTTTATGTTTATCAAAATAAAAATTTATAAAAATTATATAAAAAATTAATAGTAAACCTGAACTGTCTAGAATAAATTTGGATAATCAATTTATAAAAATTGTAAAAAATTTCAAAATTAAATTGAATTGGACATATTAAATATGGACTATCTAGGTTGGTGATAAAATGAATTTATTAAAATTTTAATTTTAATTTTAATAAGTATAAAATATAACTATAAATAAAAAATAAAAATTTTAAATTTAGACTATCAGATTTAGTCTCCACTAAATATGAATGGTTTGGATTTTATTGTAAGTTAGTGGAGAGGAAATGGAGGGAAATGTTAGCAGAGAGAAGCCAAATCTCAATTTGAGGGACTTTTGGGTAATTAATTTAATAATCAATACTTTTTAGAAAGAATCACATTTAAGGTCATAAGCAAAATAATTAAATGTAGGTCCTTTCAATTCTAAATTAAAAATAATTTTTTTTAAAGATAGGAATGCCCTTAGTTTTTCAAGTATACGTTGGCATATTTATTACCAGATATTAATTTATTCATAAGTAAAGGTTCACATATTTATTAACATAAGTTTACATATTCACTATTACAAGTGCATATAATCACAATAGCATATTTATAATTATAGTTTCACATATTTATAATTATATGTTCGGTTTACAAATTAGTAAATATACAAACATGTTGTGAATATATAAATATATACTTGTAAATTAGTGAATATCTGGTAATAAACATGCGAATATTTACTTGTGCTCGGGACTTTTTCATCAATAAAAAATTTATTTGCAAAGAAAACCTTTAGACAATTGTTTTAAAATTGAAAGGACTTGTATTGTAATTATTTTACTTTGGATAGCCCGCACTGTGATTCTTCTTACTTTTTAACAATTTTCGCTGTTTTTTAACGTAATATTATTTGAAAAAATTATTAAAAATATTTGGGAAAGAATATATTTTATTCCGTAGAGATCGAACTTCGTTTTTATGCGATGATCCTCCTCCAAACCCAATGTTGACTTTCAGATCAGCTCCCGAGGCCCAAAAAAAGAAAAAAGGAAAAAAAAAAAAAAAAAACCCCCATTTTGGAGATTCTGAAGCTATACAACAGCAGAATCCTCCATGAGATCGACAGAGATGTTATCCGAAGCTGCCTGCGAGCGGCTGCAGCGAGCCCTATTGGAGTGTCACCGGCGGGTCCCGTCCGGTCTGGGCCGAGACTCGGCGTGCCGCCACCTGAACCAATCGCTCGCGATATGCCTCGTCTCCTTGGCCTGCCGAGAAGAATCCGACGCCGTTCAGGCACTCTGCTCCAGCAGCGGCACCGCCCTCAAGCGCTCTCAGTGCCAACAGGCTCACCTCTCTCTCTCCCTCTGCCTCTCTGCTCATCAGCAAAATTCATGATTCTTAAACCCTAGTCCCAATCTGTGAAATTTTATGTTTTGGGAATTTCTTACTGCTATTTTTCTTTTCACTAAAGAAAAATAAGTACTCAATTTTGAGAAATTGATTGCTGGATAGTTGCACCTTTCAGAGTTGTATAATGGAGTCGCTTGAACAGTAAATGTATTGAGTTTGGTTAAACCTTTCGGGATAAATATTGAAGTAGATAGACAATGGTAAATGTGCCCATTTGTACTGCAATGCAGAGTTTTCTAATATCAATATGATATTCAAACTGAAGCAAAATTGCTTCAAGGTCACATCCAAAAATTTGAATTGTTTCCAGTTGACTACTTCTCTTAGCATTTAGCAATTCCTTCTTCTACTCTTCTACATTTTCCACCATTGAATCTTGATTTCAATGGTTAAGATTTAGTATGTTATAGAGATATTATTATATTATTTAAATAACAAATTTATTTACAAGAGTAATGCTCCCTATTTTTAATTATAAGATACTTGAAAAAAAAATTGACATTCCAAAATAATACTCCGTTTTTTTTAAATATAAGTTATTTTTTTAAAACAATATGCATACTAATAAAATCATCTTTTTCATAAAAATTAATAAGTTATTATTAATTTCAATTATCAAAGCACTTATAAGAGATAAATTTACACAAGAATATAAACATTGATATTCGTAGAAGATAGCTAATTCTAATTATTTCCTTCCCACTGAGTGGGACTTTGGGAAAAGTAAGCAGTCGAACTTAAAGAGAAGAACCATCAACTCTTCGGCTTTGCCAAGAGACCATTGCATTTTGCAGATCGAATTGATTTTTGTTGTTTAAATTTGATAGTTTTTTAAATATAAATTAATCTATATAAACAGTTTAAAACTACACGTTGCGGGGGAAAAATCGCTCAGATTATTGAAAATCCAAGAATGATCCAGTTACTCCCAAGTTATTTATTGTTAGTCCTAAAAATGGATTGTTGTTGGTTGTAAAAGAGTATATGATTCCACACGATGATGGATTAGGCTTTAGCAAAAGCTTCAAGAAAATAAGCCAGTAAACTTCATGTTTAAAAATTAAAAGAAAAGGTAAATATTTACCGATAAAGATTGGTATATTTAATAAAAATTTGACTCATAATATAAATCTCACTGCCAATGCAATATTTTTATTAGTAGATTTGTATGTAAATATTTTTATAAATGCTTTTTGAATTTAAAGACATATAACACTTTTTGTGAAGTCCCACAACCTACCTCATTTAAACTTTCATTTACCACAAAAAAAAAATTAAATATTTACAAAATCATGGTATAATATAATATGTAATCGAATTATAAAATTAATGCAATTAATTTCACTGAGTCGTCACAATGTTTCCTTTTAAAACTTCAACATAGGCAAACTTGATGCAAATCAGTTGATATTTCAAAATTAAAAAGTATTCAAATTCAACCATTCCATGCTTTCAAACAAAGAAAACTTTTCAACGAATCCTTCAATTCCTTTCCCCATTATCCATTATCACCCCTGGACAAATTATGCCCTTAGGAGGCTTCGAACAAAAGCAAACTTACGGGAAGACAAATAATTTGATAATATGCTAAGACAGATAATTCCATATATAATTGAGTGTTATTTGTAAATTTTAAAAAGCTAAAATAAAAAGACAAATTCTAAAATATTAAATTCTAAAATGCTAAAAATAAACTGATAACTTATGTTTTGTTACAAAAGCTCTTTTGAAAAGCCAGTCATCTTCCATCCTAAACTAGGTTCTGATTCAAAAACTTCTAGAAGTTTGTTAACCAAACATACTCCCCATCTTCTAGACGAGCTATCAATCACCCAAACTTAATTTGAGTGTTATTCAAACATATCCTAAATTACAAAATAGCCAATATTTCAGTACAAACAAGTGCCAGCACGAACATGAACCAGAAAACTCATCCACCAACGAAGTAGAATTCTCCCCTGCTGATTTCTTTAAATTTTTTATTACCCACTTGCCCTTGTAAAGGCAACACAGGGAGTAGGAGGGTGGGTTCGTGGGGACTATGAGAGAACCTGCCCCCTCCACCAACAATTGAAACGTGGATCCCGCACAAAGCAAAAGTTGTGTGTCCAGTTGAGTCTCATGATTCATGCCCATAACCAATGCTTCTCCTCGTGAACAATATTTTAAAAATTTGGAAAATCAGTGTCAAATTCCATCCAAGCAATCTAAATACAAAAGAAAAAAATCACAAAATCACAAAATTATTCTAAAATCTCATATCCTTTAATTGTCAATTACTACTAGATAGTTGTTACTTATTATTGCTTAATCATCAACTGAATAGCTCCGCTACCCAGCAATAGTCGACAATTTTAATATAGTAAAATGACCACTTCAGTAAAGAATATGAAATTTCATAGTAATTTTGTGATTTCATGAAACTTTTTTATATTTAAACTTATTGGGTAGAAACTAAGAATGATTTTCCCTTGAAATTTTCACTTGTCATATCTATATGGAAAAACTAAATATCCAATAATTCAAAATTACAACAAAGCACTCTCTCTGGAGTTTCCAATCAGATACACATGACTTGCAACCCCTAACCACCACCTACACCTTCAATTCAACCCAGCATGTCAGTAATTCATGCCTTGAAAGGATATCTACAAACATTTACCAAACTTCATCTTGAACAAGTATAATCCCCCAAAGCACGGTTATTTGAACAAAACTCAGAGTAAAAAAAGCCATTAACATACAGAATATTTCTCATAAATCTCTTACAACTGCACAAATAAATAACCTATGTAGAAAACCTGTCCCTGTCATGTGGAGCGTCATAATCAATATTTGACCCAATAGGAACGATCCCAAATGGATTGATAGAAGGATGGCTTCCATAGTAATGCAACTTTATATGTTCCATATTTACTGTACTTTTGATGCCTGGAATTTGGTAGATGTCTTTGGTATAATTGAATAGGTTTGGGTATTCCCTTAACAGCTTCTTGTTGCACTTGAAGTGAACGACATAAACCTGCAATTACAGCAAGGTTAATTGCTAAAACTGAAATGTAGTAATGCAATCTATATCTAAAAATAAAATGCGAGAATACCTTGTTAAGAACCAATTCAACTTGAAAGTTTACAATTAAATGAAGGCTAAGAAATTGATTACTAATCCTGAGCTCTTGTTCTGAGGCTATGATACCATGTCACGGACCAATTCATTAAAAAACAAACTATACAAAAAACAGATGCATGAATCGTTTTATTTTAATATCTAAAGTAATATCCTTGATATCAGATGCCAACTTAATGATAAAGTTAATGGTATTGCAATGGAACAGCCCCCCTCCAAAAAAAAAAATTGAAAAAAATAATAGAGAACAGCGGGGGAAAAGCAGAGAGAAATAATGGAAACCCAATTTCACTTCAAATTTTATCTCTTAAATCATGATGATGCATTCGTTTAAAAAGAAGCAGCAGCAGCTCATCAGGCCAATGATAAAAGAACACAAAACATATAGAAAATCCTTCAAAATTTCAGTTTATTTGAAAGCTTGCCTTTTCTTGTCATCTATACTATAAGGTAAGCCATCAAGAATTTAACAAGCGACAACTGCAACGAGCTTCCTGTTTCTCACCATTCTTCATCGCATTTCATTAAATTTTCAAATAAAGAAGTAACCAAAAGTAGAAGAGCTTACACTATTGTACAAGTAATCATAGAAATTATCGTCTTACAACACAGTCTGTTTTTCTTTAAAAAAAAAAAAAACGAAAGATCCTTGGGAAGCTGCCATTGCCAGATTGGTTTGAGTTGACAACAGCTGATAATGTTGGTTAAAATAGGACGATATTTTGAGACTTGGAAGAGATCTGGACTGATAAGCTCGTTTTAACAGGAAGGCCTGGAAGAGAGCATGAAATAACTAACAAAAATGCAAATATCATTGCAAGAAGAGGTGTTACAATCAGGACAATTGCAGAGCACGTGGATCTTTGCTTTATTCACATCTTATACAAGGTACTTCTACAGCTGCAAGATAGTCTCATAGAGACCAAGAAGGAAACAAATATGGGTTTTCAAGGGGGAACAGAGAGAGTGAGAGAGAGAGATTTAATAGGAAAACACTGTATTGTAATAAAAAGATGGTCTAAAATATACCGCACCCTATGACTTCATTGTATTAAAAATATGGTCTAAAATATTGGACTATTTAAAACATACTGCACCCTATGATTTCATTGTAGTAAAAATATGGTCTAAAATATAGAACTTCCTAAAATGTATTGCATCCTATGATTTCATTTAGATTTATGTCTAAAAAGACCATGGGAGGCACCTATGAGAAGAGTAAAACAAATGACTTTGAGCCCTGTCAAGAAGGATAGAGGAAGGCCAAAAAGAATACTTTGAAAAAATATTGAACAAGACCTTTTAATTAATAATATTTTTAAAAACTTAATAAATGATAGAGCACAATGACGTCATATAATCCATGTAACCAACCCCATCTAATGAGATAAGGTTTGTTGTTATTGTTGTTATGTCTAAGTAGTGACCTTAGATCAATTCAACGGTGCTTGTTCTCAAGTACATTATTTACACAACACATTTAAACCAAAACATATGCCCATGCCTGAACAGCATTGGACCAATATTTCCTCATACCTCATCAAATCTGATAAGAGTGACAAACAACCGAATATCTGCTTCAGTTAGTGTGTTTCCACAAATATAACGTTGCCTGCTTAGTGTATTTTCACATTTGTCTAAAGCTTCGCACAATACTTTTACAGCCTGCAGAAGGGCCAATAAAAACACATTCAATGATGTAAATACGACATGGTCAGACATTCCTACAAGCCTCAACAAAGAAAAAACTACATACCTCATCATATGGCCCTTGCATCTTTGCAAACCCACATTTATAAACACCATTGTTTATACCATTGTATATCCACTCATTAGTCTCATCAATTTGGGCTTGCAAATGAGTGGGATATAAGTCCAAGGTGGGATTTTCTGCTACATTGTTGAATTCAGTATTAAGCATGCGGATTATCTCTGAACTCTCATTGTTAACAATTGTCTTGAGTTTCTTATCCCAAAGAACCTATACAGATATAATTCAATAAGACCATAAATATTGTTCATTAAAGTATATACAAGAAAGAAAATAGTTCAAACCAAAGAAGAAACATACAGGAACCGTATATTTTCCTGTGTAATTTGAACTTGCTATTTCATAAAGTTCCCTAATGCTTTTTGCTCCATTCAAGGGATCAGGTTCAGATCCTGGCACCTCAGTATCTGAATCAGGAAAAACCCACCCCATATGCTCATCTATTTCTTTAGTTCTTCCCCAAATGGGTTTGACTGCCTGATTATTCAAACGGACGAAATAGGAAAATTTGGAATTAGCTAAGCATTCTAATTTAAACATATATATTCACCACGAAGGTCACTAACCGAGAAACTGACGGCTTTGTCAAGTCCTTTTATCTTCAAGTAAGCAAGGCACCTGGAAGCCCAAGGACATGCATAAGATATATACAGATGGTACCTTCCCGACTCTGCTGGAAATTGAGAATTTGGATCTCTTGAAATGGAATTCCGGTATGTAGAAGCAGTTCTGATAAAAGCTCCAGAGTCTGATGTCTCATCCAATGCAGATCGTGCCATGTTCACCAAAAACTAAACAGCAGATATATCAAGAATCAATCAACCAAAAACTTTTTGAAGTATCAGAATGATATAATTTTCTTCAAGATCTGATATGCTTTAATTCATATATCACGCCCTACAGTAAATGATTTCAGATTCAGATTAAGTTCAGAAAAAAGGCAAGTTAATAGACAGAGAATTCCAGTTATGATTTTACTTTTAATTTCATGAATATATTCCTCATTCGTTCACTCCATTGTGAAACAAACTCTTTTCTAGAAGCTCAACAGGGATGTTTAAAAAGAACAAGTGGAACATGAGAATTGGGGAAAAATGATGTAGTTGACAAAACCTTGATACAATTCAATTTCCAATCAAAATATGCACATCCCTAACAAGCATCGGCACTAAACCACTGAAGTATAATGTTTAATTGCAATTTGAAGCGCCAAAGAAGACACGACTAAGCTAAAGAAGACACGACTAAGGTATTAGTATTTCATAAGCACAGCCTGAAAATGGAAGTGATATTTTTATTCAGTGTCCTAATTTAACAGAGACTAGAACCTATTCAAATAGAATTCTTCAGAAATTTATTTTCGAAGAAAGAGAATCGTCGCAACATAAGATTTGCCCTCAGTGAGGGAAATTTCCTTCACAATTAGGAGAATATATAACTTAGAAGCTGAAGAGTAGTTTTAGTGGTCAGCAGCGAAGATACACAAGAAAAGAAAGCGATGAAATATTTTAGGTCAGTGAAAGAACGAGAAATGAAGAGAGGACTTTCGCGACACCTTGCAAGAAATCGAAGGGGATGGAGAGATACTGGGGCACAGAATCACACCCAACCTCGCAGAGAACATAGCAGGCTCCTGAAATTCAGCTCATATTTTAGAATGGAAAATCATATTCACTTTTTCATGAATATATTTTTATAATCTTATTTTTCTATTATATTCTTATAATATTAAATGAAAAGTAGTTTTAAAAATTTATGTTTTTATTATAAAAAATAAAATTATAAAATAAATTTAATAAATTTTATTAATATGCATAATCTTATTTTAAAATATTTTATAAATTATGATGGAAGAAAAAAAATGTTATCTTCTATAAAATGCATTTTTTTTATTGTTCCTGGTACATTATTATATAACCCCTTAAATGCCCTTTTATATTTGCCTTTTAATGTTTGTTTATTATTGCAGGGTCCTTATGCGGATGTGGTTTTTCCTTTTTTTTTAAAATGATCGGCTGTAATTTCCGCTAGTATGTCCCTGTTTAATAATAAAATGCAAGTTATCATTGTTCTTTGTACGGTATAATTCTTTTATGGAAAAATTAATCAAAATCACACACAATAAAATTAATTATTATAAGATTTATTAATAAATATAATTTAGTCCAATTATCAATATACCTTGCAATAATTAAAATGTAACCTAGTTGTAATTCTCATTTCTTTTAATGCAATTGTACATATTTATTAAAGGGAAAATGACAATTTGAAATATCAATTAAGTCTCTAAGTTCTTAAGTGGCATTTTAATATAATGAGAAATGATCGAAACACCCTTATTTGGTTGGTGAAATTTTGAGGTTGCTCATTTTCTACTCTATCCTAGCGATCACTTGCAAGTGAGTAAAGAAAAGCTATACGTCATCTCTTCCCTACCCCACTGTTAGTGACACTAGCGATTGTTCTCTTCTCTACCCTAAGTGATCACTTGCAACTAAATAGAGAAAAGCTATTTGTCTCTTCCATACCCTACCTTCCTTACCCAAGCAAAGCTCAGGTTCATTATCTCTTCCGCGTCTTGTTTTTTATCAATGGGGTTTGTCTCTATTTCACAATGGGGCATCTTGACATATCTATGATACCAATATAGTTCATACAGGAATGTTAAACCATAACCAAAGAAGTTCAATTGATCATTGGTCAAGCAAATTTGGCAAATATAGTGAAGACATTACTTTCGTCTTTGAATTGAAGTTATGAGTAGGGATTCAGTTGGAAAACATGATTATATGATTAACTTGTTAAAGGCAAATCAGAAGAAATTTGTTATAGCAAATGAACTATGTTTTAGGTGACTACCAATATAATGTTAGTGTTTGTCTATGAATAGTGACTATAGTATTGAGGTGCAAAAAATGCCTTACCATGACTAATTCTTAAAAGCCTAATTTTTTTTTTAGAGTTTTATACTAGTAAAGTGAAGAAAAATATTACCACAAAATAACTAGTAACTCAAGTAAGCTAAGCTCAATGAAGTAAAAGTAAAACCAAGTTGGCGCAAATACATATATGTACCATCTCAAAGAAAAAGGGAAATTGAGAGGGACACAGAGTTGCCACCCTCACCATAACATGACTCCACTACTATCTGTTTGATAAGAGACCAAGTCAGCAAAACCAACCACTAATCACCTATCAAAGACAAAAAAAGGAGGAAGATAATAGAAGTTGATACTGTTATGCAAATTTTTAAGGATGTTGTTTATTTTAATTATTTGCTGTTAGTTGTTGAATAAGTGGACCTTTAAGTTGTTAGAGATATTTGGAGATATTTCTGTTATTTATTAATTATTTTCATTTATGTTCAGCATTATAACTAGACTAGCCAACTTCAAAGGCTAGACACATGGAGTAATAAAGTTCCAATTTATCTTACTTGGAAACTCTCTTAGTATTTTGGCTATTAAGAGACTAACAGTGTGAGATTCTTGCTCTATTTCTCTCTTTTTAGAGTTATTTGTCTCTTTATTAGTTTATTATCCCTATAAGTTCAGAGCCCTATCACTGTTTCTGATGTTAGGCATCAGAGATGAAGAAATGTATTGAACTCAAACATGAGCATTGGATATTTATCATGAAGTGATGGTAGAGCAAGTAGCAAAAATATTTTCTTCCACTATTTCTGCTTCACTTATAAATAACATAAACAAATATAGTAAATTAAAACTTCAGCAAGTTATGGAAATTAAAAGAGCATTGTATTATAATATGTTTCCTGACCTATTTTGGCATTTGATTTCTTCTCTTTGAAGAACATTGTGTTCTTCTTTGCTAGTTTTGTTTGTATTGCTACTATCACTAGCAAGATTCCTTTCCATTGCACTTTGTGCTAAGCGGATTAACTAAGCAGATTACAATATGTTTACTATTTAGATATAGGTATTTTATGCGAATGGCTTGCAAGAGAGGATTAATTAAGAATGAAAATCAAAACCAAATCAAAACATTTATCTCAATTTCTTAGGCTTAAAAATTGGTCTACATAACACAAAGTCAAGAGTGAAGGAAAAAATTACAAATATGCATGTGTTCACGCTCTCCCCCATTTAAATAATAAGAAGGGTGGTTGTCCAAATATAGTAGAACAAGAAACTTCCTAGTTTTGAAGTCTATAGTAGGTTCTCTCAGCCATGATATGACCCAATGTTCTTGTCTTGGATTTACTAAATGCTTAATTTTTGGGAAAATGACAATCAAATATCCAGATATTTGATTGTCTCTGTGTGTGTGTGTTTTAAAGGATTCCTAGCATTTGTATGGGGATGATATTTGTAATGATATGGCTTGGGACTGTAATCACCATGTATACATATTCTTTAGGTTTAGCTTATCTATAATCATATTGGCCTGATGTTTTCAAAAATGACCACTATTAGTCTATTATGATAAAGCATGGATCTAACTCTGGCTACAGCATCAGGTGTGATAAACTACTTGCTATCTCGTTTCTTCTTTTTCATATTTGCCAAAGTTTTAATCTATGCTACCTTGACTGCTCATATTTGTATAGATTACTGTGGGGTATATGTCATAAAGTACCGTGTAAAATGGGATGATAGAAGAAGAAAAGGAGGACTCACAATGGAGAACTTTTCAAATGTATGTATATGTGTTCCACAATTTTTCTAATTTTTTCTTTTAATTATTAATGTCAAACTTAAAATTTCTTTATGTTTTTCTTAAGAACAACTGAGATAGTTTAGGGTGAATGTGGTATAGTGACTAGTAAATCACACAAGAAATGAAGTGAGACACAAATTTTTTGCCTCTATTTCAGTTGCTTACAGATCAAAGAAGGCAGGAAAAAAGTCTAAATGAATTTTAATAATGTGTGTATAGTGTAATTACAATGTTTGATGGCTTGTACAACTTCCTTCCCAAGACTTTGTGACTTGTTTTCACAATTTTTTTACAATGGAGATTTTGATTTGATAGCATTTTTAATCTATGATCTGTTTTGGTCATTAATCTTTAATAGGTGTGACGCATTTGCTTTGTTGAATAGCCTGATCCTCATCAACATTCACCATTATGAATAATTTGCGACTCCTTTTCAAAATTTTTGGTGGAAGAACTATTAAATTCTTAAAAAAGTTATTATTTTAGGACAACACTCTAATAATTTGCAACTCAGATACCAAATTTTACAACATCCTTATGAATACTTTGCAACTCCTACTCGAAATTTTGGATGGAAGAACTATTAAGTTTTTAAAAAGGTTATTCTTCTAGGATAATGCTCCAATAATTTGTAACTTAGACACCAAATTTTACAACTTTCTTATGAATAATTTGCAACTCCTAATTGAAATTTTGGATGGAAGAACTATTAAATTCTTAAAAAAATTATTCTTCTAAGACAACGCTCCAGTAATTTACAACTCTAACACCAAATTTTACAACTTCCTTACGAATAATTTGCAACTCCTACTCAAAATTTTAGATGGAAGAACTATTAAATTCTTAAAAAATTTATTCTTCTAGAACAATATTCCAGTAATTTACAATTAAGACACCAGATTTTGTAACTTCTTTATAAATAATTTGCAATTCCTTCTCAAAAATTTTAGGTGGAAGAACTATTAAATTGTTGAACTTGCAAAGCAACCAAATTATTTTAGGACATGGCTCCAGTAATTTGCAGTGGAGATATCAAATTTTGCAACTTCTTTACAAATAATTTGCAACTCCTTCTCGAAGTTTTGGGTGGAATAACTATTGAATTCTTGAACTTGCAAAGCTTCCAAATTATTTTAGGACATGACTCTAGTAATTTGCAACTTCGTTACGAATAATTTGCAAATCCTTCTCAAAGTTTTGAGTGGAATAACTATTGAATTCTTAAACTTGCAAAGCTTTCAAATTATTTTAGGACACAGCTCCAGTAATTTGCAACTGAGATACCAAATTTTGCAACTTTTATAAATAATTTGTAATTTTTTTAAAATTTTAGGTGGAAGAACTATTGAATTCTTAAAGCTACCAAAATTACTTTAGGATATGGCTCTAATAATTTGCAATGAAGATACCAAATTTTGTAACTTTCTTACGAATAATTTGCAACTTGTTCTCGAAGTTTGGATGGAATAACTATTGAATTCTTGAATTTGTAAAGCTTCCAAATTATTTTAAGACATGGCTCTAGTAATTTGCAAATGAAATACTAAATTTTACAACTACCTTATGAATAATTTGCAACCTCTATTTGAAATTTTAAGACGACACACTTTTAGTGATCACAAAAGATATGAACTGTACATATAAGCTACATGTCTTAATTCATCTAATGCATCTGCACATATCAGTTGTCCACATACACAAAAGTGTGAACTTGGATTTATAAAAGAGGTTGCTATGTACCAAACAAATCCCCTAATATGAATTGCACATATAGCTTAAGCATTGATGTTCGGATACTCTGTATTGCACATGGTAGAACTTCAAGATCATGTGTAGCATGTAAATTCCCAGCTGAACATCTTGCTCCACAGTTCCATTCAAATCATGTTTATTACTGCCATTCCTAGTCATATTAGCATAATATTAATCATTCAACTATTAAAAAAAGCTTACCCATTAATTAAATCTCTTGTTGCCTTTGTACCTTGCTGTATCTTCTCAATGATGTACACATGAGCAAACTTATCATTCAACTTCATTAATTGATTTATCCTTTCATCATCTTTAAAATCTAAAAATATATTACAATCAAACTTTACTGTATACTTCAACTCTATTCCATTTAAATCACAATTCAAGCGTGATGAAATTAATTTAACAAGTCCTTCAAGAGACATTCCTTCTATGATCATTTTTCAATTACAATTCTCCTATCATAATGCATTGTCCTAGGCATATCCTGTACAATATCTCCACTAAAATGAAACTAACAAAAAAAAATTAAACAAGTACTTTTCATCACACCCAATAATATCAATCTACAATAAGCAAAATAAAATGTCATAATATATCACTAAAAAATAAGTTACTTTTGACATCAGTGATTTTTTATCAGTGAGACAGCGACAATGTTCCACTTTAAAATATGGACACTCGATGATAAATTCTTACACTTTCAGTTGCAAAATGTCAAATCTTCATGCCAAATCTTTAGAAATGTGAACAAAAAAAAATTTCATGTTCAGTTGCAAAAAAAAATTCCATCTTTTTCCCTACAAGTGTCATCTTGAGTCAAGCTTTTTGTTCAGATGTAGGGATTTGAAAAAAAAAACCCTATGTAAACGCACTAACTAAAAAAACTCATGTAGGCAAAGAATAAGAGCTTACTTGAGTCAATAATTAAGGCAACTCCACCTCTTCCAAGATCAATTCTGTTTTAAGAATGGGTATTCTTCAACTTGTCTATCTACACTTACATGCATCTCTCATTAATGGCAGGAACCGGTTTGTTCGAGAGAGAAACGTTGAAGCTGATGAGTGTAGATGTTATATTTAATCATAAGGGCATTTTAGCCATTTTTACTATAACTCTTATTTGTGAAAAAAGCATGAACTTTATTGGCCTTTTAGAATTACTTAAGACCTAATTGGATTTAATTATTTCCTTTGAGACTTGATTGTCATTTTCCTTATGGTGTGTTCATTGTTGCTTGGTTCTCCAATTTTTCAGCCTGCCTCTTCCATTTTCATATTTTTTATTTTAAATATATTAATATAATTTTTTGATCCTTTAAGTTCATTCTTAAATTCTTCAACAGTTAGGCTCTTTTTATTTTCTAAGGATTTGTTTGTTTGGAGGGAAGGGGAGGAAAATTTCCTCCATCTTACCAAACAAAGGGAGGGTAGCCCCTCTCTCCAAAACCTCCCCCCCCCCAAATTGCAGGGTTCCTCCTCTCCGCCGCTCCTCCCTCTCTCTCCCTCCTCTCCCCTTACCTCCCTTTCCTTCTATTTCCTCCCCTTTCTTCCAACTAGACATAACTTAAAGAAATAGAAAATTATTTTTCTTGATTGCTCATAATAATTTTTTTTATTTGAGTAATTATATTTGAGATACAGTTGAGATACTAAATGTTGACGTCTCTATTAACAAGGATTTAAACTTTAGTTCATTATATTATGTTATGAAGAATTAACTTTTTTGTATTAAATCCAACTCATGAATAACTCATCATAAGCTAATAAATAAACAATAAATCTTATTGATGCCCTTTTTTTCCAAAACACAACGTTTTTTATATTAATTTTTATATTCATAATCTTTTTCACTTTGTTTTAAAAAAATTAAAGTATACCTAATCTTGACTATTAACATTTAATACAAATTTTATATTATATTTTTATAATATTATATTAACACATTTTTTATTATATCATATTAACAAATTAACATATTTTATATTGCATTTATGACATCATAATAGTATATTTTTTATTTATGCAGTTTCCAAATTATATTTTAATTTTTTCATTAATAATAAGTTCATAAATAAAATAAGGTGCTTATAATTTTTTCGTATAAAAAAGTAGTAAATTGTAAAAATTAACAAGTTGTTATTAAAAATAATTTATTATACAATTAGCTCATGAGTAATAAATCTTGCAAGTGGCTTTTTAGAAAAAAATGCGATAAATTTTTAAAAAGGCCTTTTCTAATGACTCATGTTGGCACAATGAATAAACTTTTAGTTTTATATTTTATGAGTTTCCTTAGATTATTTCTAATTAGTTTCATATAAATTGCTATACTTTATAGAATTATTAATTCTGTATTAGGTAACTAATCCCTTTTCATATAAATCTCATCTCCTTTCTTGTCATTTGTGCAGTATTGGAATAGTTGAATCTGACTTAAGTAGATTCATGGACTAATTATTATGTTATAAATTCATGGCAATCTATTCAAACATCTTGTTTAATTATTATTGTTTGGATTATTAACACAATATGCCTATCAACTAGAGGTGGAAATTAGGGTAGCCCTCCTTAAAGGATCAGGCTCTAAAGCTCAATTATTCAAAATTTAACTTAATTTTAAGGCCCGACCTTTATTTAAAGGGCTCAAGGTTAGGCCTTTAAGCCCACTTTTCCAAAAATAAGATCCAATATTTTAATTAAACAAAATATTTTAAAATTTAACATAAAATAAATCAAAATCTCACATAAAATTTAACATAAAATTTGACAAAGATTTAAATTTTAAATTTAAGATAAAGATTAAAATCTTTATTAATGTAAATTTAAATCTTTCTCATCATCATTCAAAAATAAAATATTAGATACCTCAGATATAGGTTCACTTGTTGAAAATATAGGTAAAAATTTAATGTCAATTATCTTTACAACTTCTTCTTCATCACTAACAATAAATATTAACAAAATTGTGTCATTATCAATTAAATATATATATATATATATATGTGTGTATATATATGTAAGATAATTAGGCTTATCAAGGTTTAAAGGGCTGCTTGGGTCCGAGCCTTTTTCTTACAGGGCTTATCAAGGCCAGGCTCTCAAGCTCAGTTATTTTAAAAAATTTAATTTTTTAAAGATTGAATCCTTATTTAAATAGGACCTTCAAGCCTTACATTTATTTCTAACTCTACTATCAACTCTATTTTAGGAGGATGGTTAATTGTGACATTGCCTTACCTTTGAAAGGCACAGTGGCCATGTTGGAGTTGGATAATTAACAACTTAATTAATTTTCTTTTTTTGGGATTCACAACGTGGTTTAATATTATGATTTATTAATCAAGGGTTTTCCTTTTTTTATTATAAGAATAATTAAGACTATTTATTTGATCAAAAAAATTAAGACTATTTAAATTATATTTCTTTTGAATTGGAAAAAAAGAGAGACACAATGATAAGATTTATTATTTTATAAGTTTCCCCTGTATGCCTTTTATTTCTTTTCCTTTAATTACTTCATTCTATGTTATATTAACGTTTTTCAGATTTCATGTTTTAATGCATATATTCTTATTCTAGAAAAGGTACCATAAGGCACAAGCAAAAATACAAGGATATATTTTTTCTGTTCAAAAATGTAAGGCATTTTTTGATAAGTTAGATATTAAAAAATATAAAGCATTTTTAATCTTTTGATGTGTAATCATTGTTTTTTTTATAAAAGTGCCTCTATAGGTAATGACTTTATATTTATTATAAGGTATTTGATAGAAGTAAATATAAAAAGATACGATTTGTTTGAAAGTAGGTAACTATTTTATTGAGGAGTGAAATTCAGTTAAAAATACCTTACATTTTTAAATGGAAGGAATACTTATTATTTTATTCAATTATTATAATCATGTTTTATTCTATCTCATACCGGTGAAGTTTATTAGAAGAAAAAATATTAAAACAATTATAATACGTTATAATCTACTAAAATTAGACTATGCATTGAGTACAATATGAGTGTCATATTATATTAAGCCATGACTTGACACAATTAAAAATATACACATACCCTGTTATCAAATATGTATATAGATATATACATTACCCCCTCCCCATAATAACTAGAAACAAACAAAAAGAAAAGTAAATAAGCAAATTTCTCGATTTCCATGTAATACATGGAACATTTTCTAATCATATATATTGTAAAGTACATCTCAATGTACGGTTCATTTACAGTTGGATGAAAAGTACTTTAAAAAAAATTTATATATTAAGAGTTTGTATGGAATCCATGACAAAAATTAAAAAATAGATGTAGAAACCCATAATAAAAAATACTTATAAATATGAGACTCAAAAAAATAATATGTTTGAGATTTAATATTTTGTTATAAATGTATGAGATTGATCATTTGTTGCTTATATTTTATATATATATATATATATATAAGATAATTAATTGTATATAACATGAAAATTTAAATAATAAATTATAAAATAGAATGTTTTTTATTTAAATCAATCAACTTATTCATGTTCTATTTTACATATAAGCAAATTTTAATCAGTTTACACAGTTCAAAATTTGATTAATCCCAACAATTTATATCTGAAATTGAAAAGTTTGGATTAAGATGTATTTGTGATTAACATTTTATTTTCTCCTAATTTAATGATACTATCATTTAATAAAGAATAATTAAGAAAAGATGACAAGAATACTTTTTGAAAATTATTGTTTTGCTTATAAAAAAAGGGTTAAGGTTCAATTTTGTCCATGTATTTATTTTTTAAGAGCGTTGAGCACCCTATATTTTAAATGAAGCAATTTTATCTTTGAACTATTTTTTTGACTAGCCAAAAACTCACTCTTTTAATGAACCATTAACTCTGCCATTATATGCTGACATGGCATGTGCGTGGGCTTATGCACAGTAATATGTAGACTTTGATCATGTCTTTTGGTGTTAATTTGGTTTTGAACTTTTTTCAAAAGTGCTGAGTATCCTAACGTTTTGTTAAAATAAAATTTAATAAATATTATTAAAATATTAAATATTTTAATTTTTAAGAATTTAAATATTATTATTTAAAACATTATACTACCCAATTTAATATTTTAATATTTTTAATATTTTTTAATTTCATATTAAAAATGAAGGGAATGAACATGCAAATTAACAAAGGGATTTTTTCTTTCCATCTCTTCATTTTTTTTTCTTGTTAAGTAACTTTTTTGTAGTATATTAATGAAATAAGAAATATATTTAAATAAAAAATTTTGTTGTCATTTTGTTGGTCCTGATTGTTATATTTTTGATTTTACTTCTAACACTGCAACGTACAGAAAGTATTAAATTTTATGGTGTAATATTTTATTGGAAAATCATTAGTTGACCAAAAAAATTAAGTAATTTAACCAATATTAAAAATATAAATAAGTTGTGATACGCACAAAAAGCATAACGATTTAAGTACTGTCTAAAAAAAAGGGTTAAAGGGTATTTTTGCCTTGAAACTTTTTTACAAGGGGTGTCTTAAATTTTTGTTTGAAGTAATGTCACCTTAAAACTTTTAAAAGTGGTGCAATTTCACCCAACCGTTAACATTGATTAATGTTTGACTGTTAAATTTTACTTTGACCTCTTACTTTACATGTGTCCTTTCCTCCTCCGCTCGGCACTGTTCATCTTCCTGCTCTCTCTTCCTTTGCACTTTGAAAAATTCCCAGCTTTCCTGTCAATGTCAATGGTTGGGTGAAATTACACCATTTTTAAAAGTTCTTGAGCGATATTGCTTTAAATAAAATATTAAGATACTAGGCACTTCTTGTAAAAAAATTCTAAGGAAAAAATCCCTTTAACCGTATAAAAAATAAGAAGTTATCTATACATTTGTGAAATGTTAATTTGAGTTATTAATATTTAAAAAGTAATTTATAAATTTTGAATGAATATTTATAAATAATAATATTTAAATTATTAAATATAAAAATATTTAATATTTTGATAATATTTATTAAAGGGTTAAAATGTAAATCTATCCTTAAAGTATTTTTTTAGGCATAATTTTACCCTAACATTTTAAAAAATGGCACAATTTTGTCTAATGGCTTGACTGTGTAGACAATTAGCGTTGATGTGGCATCCACGTTACATTTACTCTCCTCTCTCCCCTCTTTTTTCACTCACCTACCTTTACACGCTTCACCTCTCTCTCCTTCTTCACTTATCTTCCTTAAAACAAAGCATCCACCCTTAAATATTTAATAATGTCCAACCAAGAGTTCAAATAACAAAACATGTGAATATACAGGCATCATACAAATCAAAACAACTGAAAGGTTATAGAGCATTAAAAAAATTTAGAGCGAAAATCAGAGCTACCTACAAGGAAATTGATATCAAAATCATAACCCAACAAACAATTCGTCAATTTGAAATCAAAATTGATATGGAACAAGCAAACCTTCACAATCAAAATCAAAATCAAAATCCAATAAACAATTCATTGATTTGAAAACAAAATTGATCTGATATGGAAGAAACAAAATTGTGAAAATGAAAATCGAAGTAGATTAAAAATCGAATCGTCGCAAGCTTACCGTTCTTTACCCAAGTGAACGACGACGAGGAAGAAGAAGAAAGGGATTAAAAGGCCCATTCTTGCAATCACTCACACCTTTTGCTCTGTGCCGTCGACAACGCACTCTTCACTCTAAGCATAAGCAACCACCTAAGCTCACTACCTCAACCTTTGCTTCACCATCTGTGGATTGTCCCCTTCATCATTACAAATCACACCCCAACACACAAAATCAGATTCATCCGTTGCTATCAGATTAATCTGTAGCCAAATTCAAAAATGATAAATAAGAAAGATACGTGGGTTGTGTACCTCGATCAAATACGGCGGTGTGGGGATTTCCAAGAGGAGAGGGATTATCAGAATTGGATGACGGCGTTGTGGCGAGGGCTGGCTTGTAGTTCTTATCCACGTCCTCGTCCGCCCACTTGATGCGTCGATTCTTCGCGAAAGGCATCTGGTGACCACGGTATTTAACCCAAGTTTTTTAGCCTTCCGTCAACGCTCCATGGTTCAAATCAAGTTTTATAGCCTCCCATCAACCAGTAACCCCATCTCTGTCTTCATCTTTAAAGTTCCCCTAACCCCTTCTCGGAGACATTTAATCCATTCCTAATTACTGGGTTTGTTGTGGTTGTTAGGTGGAAGATGAATCGGGAGAGTGATAAAGAAGGAATCGATCTATAGGCAGAGTTGGAAGAAGAATTGAGAGAGAGAGAGAGAGAGAAGGCAACAGAAAAAGAAAGATGAAAGAGGTCGTGGAAGCCATGTTAGCATGCCATGTAAGCAGAATTGGTCAATTGACAGTCAATCGTTAGGGTCTGTTAATGCAGGGCAAATTGGCACTGTCCTGAAAAATGTCAAGGCAAAATTACACTTTTGAATATTTTAAAATATTAATAACATCTTTAAAAATTTTAAGAGTAAATTTATATTTTAATTTTTATTAAATTTTATTTTGATAAGACTTTAGAATATTCAGTGTTTAAAAAAATTTAAAGTATTTAACGCTCCTAAAAAAAATTTAAGGGTAAATTAGTATTAAAGAACATTGTTAAAATTGTATTTGTTACTTTTTTGTGGGCTCCATACTTATGTCACGTCATTATGTAATGATAGAGTTAACAGTTTATTAATGAAAGAGTTTTTTACTCCTCGAAAAAATGGTTCATGGATAAAATTACTTCACTTAAGAGTATATGGTGCCTAAGGCTTCTAAAAATAATTATAGAAATAAAATTAAACCTTATAAAAATAATAACAAATCATATGAAAATTTTACTTATATTTAAAAATGGAGGAAATTTATAGTAAAATTTTACAATGAACTACGATAAAACTACAGTGATTTGTGAGATACATTATATTTGGATTTAATGACTAAAATAAATCCTATTGCTTAATAAATGTCACATGCAGCATGATAATCATTGTTCAATTTACTTGAACTATTGTAAGATATTTTATCAAATAATACTATTTACTTTGTCATTGCAAATGTGGTTGTAAATGGAAATTGTAGAACGTGTAATAAAAAATGGGAAACTTATAGTAACATTATAAATTTAATTTTTACAAATCATAAAATTTCATGTCTATATCCATTGAAATTTAGGTCTACATGCACAAGGTAATACATATAGAATAAACAAATTTTTATAAAATAAATTGCTTATTTTTACACATAAGATGTATTTTTAATTGGTTACCAGCAGAATAAATTTTATATTAGAATAAGTTGATGTTATGGGGTAATGAATTATAGAATAAAGAATATTTTTTAAGGGATAATGAAATTTTAAATCCCTCAAATTTTCTTAATTATTAATTTATTTTTTCAAGTTTAATTTTTATTAATTTAATTCCTTACATTTTTTTTAAATTTTTGCTTTAATCTTTTAGGTTTTAAAACAAAAATTGACCTTTAAATTAATCCGACATATAAAGTATGTTGATAACTTGACATATTACATGTGACTAAATAAAAACAAATTTAATTTTGTCATTAATTTATGTGGTTGTCAATTTAATATTCTTTGTATATACTAGCAAATTTTAACTGTATATTACCTCTTTTTCAAACAATAAACTTGAAAGACTAAATTATTATTGAGGCAAATCTTATCATCTCCTTTTAAATATACATTAGGTAACAAATTATAAAGTAGAAGGAGTTATAGTTTATATTAAATGATAGAATTTTAACATATTTTTTGTCTATGTACGTTGTAATTTTATTTTTAATTTTTAATGTAAAAATTATTTTTGAAAAGTTACTTTAAATTATGCTAAATAATAATTGAATTTGATTTAGTTAGATAATCATATAAAAAATTGTGTTATTTACATTTTTCATTTGTACAAGGATAATAAATCCTTAAATAAAATAAGGGGTTATTTATATTAAAAAGTAATAACTTTTTAACTAGAATATGTTGTTTAAATTTTAATTTATGCGAAGATCACATGTAAAGAATTTTTATATTTTTTTATATGCACATGATATCATATTTTAAAATAATTTGTGTAAGAATAAAACAAATTGTTAACTCTTTTTTATTGCTAATAAATATTTTTCTATTAGAAGTGATTCTATTTGAGGTACAGTTGAGTATTAAATATAGGTACCTCTCCCAATGAGAAATGATTTTTATCCTCCCATTGCTATATATGGCAATACTAAAATAAAATAAGATGGTTATACAATTTAAAAGAAAAAAAATTCTAAAAATAGATATATGTTTTAGAATTTTAATTTACATGAATATAACAATTCATAGATTAAAATAAATTTATATATATATATATATATATAATTATACATGGAATTACACATTTTATGATAAAACAAGTTATTTTTTGTTTCTATTTTCTAATTACAAATATGATGGGGAAGTAAAAATATATAATTAATTATCTATAACCACATATACAATTTATTTCATACTTTTTATAAACTATTATTTTTATAAAATTATCAAGTTAGTATTTACTTATAATTTAACTTCTATTAATTTTTATGATCTGTTTGGATCAAAGAAAATGATGAGATTTTAAATTTTCGTGACTTCAATTTTAAAAAAAGGAGAATATTGGCTAGAAAGTTTTTAATTGATGATTTTTTTCTTTTACATCTCTAAAATTAAATTTTATAACATATTTATCCTTTTTTTAAAATAAACTCATTAAAATATTATATTTTAATTTTTATTCACTGGAAACAAAAAAATGAGGGTTAATATTTTTGTACATTACACCGGGTATAAAATTTAGTTGAATGTAAGAAGTAATATGCAACAATTACAAAAAACTACATGAGTGGGGCAACAGATGGAGTATTGTGATCTCTTAGGGTAAGCTTTCAAGACCATTCTAAGAGGATTCAAGCTCAAAACTAAAGGTATTCATTTCTCCTCTGCTCCCCAACTCTATTCACATGTCTCAGCACCGTGTTTCTCTTTAGGGGGTGAAGATTTTGGACCTCAAGGAAATTGGTTTGAACCCATTTGTCCTAACGAGACTAATGAGAGTTATTTTACTTATCTAAACTTAGTCTCTTAGATTTTATAAATTTTTGAGATTTGGGTTAGGGTTTTGGATAAACCTTAGCCACTTTAAGGAGAAATTTGAATTGTTAGGTGTTGTAATTATTGCTATTTAATTTTCCTACCTCACTTGTTCAAAAGAATTCTAAGTATTGGTTTTATATCAATAGAACATGCTCATACAGGTAAGGCTTCATGTTTGAATGACTTATTTCGTCACTTAGTATATGTGGTTTATTATCCTATGATAGTTCTTAATTTTTCTATTATACTTGTTCATTGCAACACTAGCTTAAAAAAATTTCAAGTGTTAGTTTAATATCGGTGCGGTTTCATATTTAATCACCAAAATCAAATTCCTTCTAGGACTTGGTTTGGGGAGATTCTTGGGTAGGAACTTCAATGGCAGAGGTGTTGCTGATTTTCAAACGCCCTAATTCAAGTCTTGGAGAGAAGATTAGGAAGCTTTACTATGTGTGTCCTCCAACTTCAGAAGCCAATGATCCATGGTAACCTCAAGTCAAAAACTATCCTTTTAGATTGCAATTACCTGCCATATATCTCGAATTTCAATCTTCACCTTCTCTTGAATCCTACTACTAACCAAAAAATGTTTGAAACCTTAGTTGCTTAGGATTATCAGTCATACATTTGATTTCAAAGTATCCTTTAGAGTGTAGAGAGGAGAGGGCAATCTTATCATTTTCCATTGAATTTTAATTTCAATTCAGTATTTCACACTTGCAGTGAGGTTTTAGAAATTCAGGGGCTTTCTTTTTTATTATATCTGATTAAGGGGTTTTCAGTGAATTTTCCCAAAAAGAAAACTTTAAATAGTTTTTTGGTTTCTTATGAAGTTCAACATCTTGGGGGGCCATATCTACAAACACAAATATTTGCAGTGCATACTGGACAACTAAAGCTAGGGTTGCCTTCGCAAGGCATTGTTAGATAGGGAGGTACAATAGAAGATTAAAAATTTTAAATTCCTATCTTAATGTAAACCGAATGAGCTTGTTTAAATCAAGGTGGATAAAAAAGTTACCTTTCATTATTTGAACATCATATGTGTGCTTTTTAAAAATTTATATCTTAGGAGCTGATAATGCAAATATGCTCCTTCTATCAGTATCTACACGAACAAGTTCCCAACACAAATAACGTACTGGCACTCTCCGTATCTAATCTCTATTCGTCTATCAATTTACACGTCCTTTTATTTTCTAGAGAATTTTCATGGCTCTCAGAGGTTTGCCATCAGGAGACTTTTTCATTATTGCTTATACTGTTGCACGTCCCCTTCTCTATACAATACATAGATTAGGGTTTTTGCTTTCCACTTGAAGAGCTAATGAAAAAATTAAATTAAATTTATCTCATATATAAAATTAATAATATCATATCTAATTTATATTTATCTTATAAATTTAAAGTATAACTGATATGATATTCTATCATATCATGTTAGTTATTAAATTTAATTTATCATGTAAAATTAAATTTAAAACTAATACGATATAATATAATATAATATATATATATATATATATTAGATATGCATATTATATTATACATACATACATACATACATATATATATATGTATGTATGTATGTATGTATACACAAAAACACACATATATGTATATATATTTCAAAAATATATATATATATATTATATTATATTTTAAATTGTAAATATCATATACATACATACATACATACATACATATGTATATATATTTTGAATATATATAATAAAACTATATTTTAAATTTTATATTTCATATATATATATAAATATATATACATACATACATACATACATACATATATATATATATTTTAAATATATATAATAAAATTATATTTTATATTTTATATTTCATATATATATATAAATATTTATCAAATAAATATTCAAATATATATATATATATATAATTCATTCACCCTAAAAAGCATTACATTTATTGAATCTAGATACATTTCAGATTCAATGAACTTAGGTATTGTAGCTTGAATTGGGCTATTTTTGTGTATGACTCTATAGGCTCATATGAAGTTGGCAGTCGGCTAATTATGGTACTAACCCTCAGGTCATAAGTGGCCTCTAGTAAAACATTATAACTACCCAATTTATATGGGGATTGATTATTCG